ATAACATAATACGGAATTTTATTGTGGGGAAATGCCGCCGCCATTCAAACTATTTTTGTGCTGCAGAAGAGAGCTATTCGATCAATTTATAATCTTAAAGTTAAAGATTCGTTAAGAGATAAGTTTAAAGGATTTGGAATAATGACGGTCGCATCACAATACATATACGAAAAATTATTACTTGTAAGAAAAAACCGCAATAGCGTCCATTACTGGATTCTCGCACGCGTCGTCTGTATGCGAAGATGTTGACTCAGTAGTCTCAGTACCGTATTTTTATTTCGAGTTGAATTTATTCAACATCTTTAAAGTTGGATGAAAATTAATACAAATTTCCGTCAAAGTATATCTTGTCCTTAGGATGGATTCCGCGGTGTGAATAGCTAATCTATTTCTTAATATATCCTTAATTTTCCCTACTTGGGAAAGGGTTCTTTCTACAACCATACAAACTAAAGGTACCAAAAAAATACAAATCACAAAAAACAATACAAACAACGATAAACGATCAATAAAACGCAAAAGTAATAATGGTTTAGTGTTCAATTGAAATAAATGAAATGATAAGGAAAATAATAATTATGACCAAGTATCAGGTCGTTGACGCGTCATCCTTACGAATAATTTTATAGCGGAATCAATTATAGCAATAAAACACTTTTATGGCTCATCATTGCATTAAAAGTAATGCATGTTTTATGCAATGTTAAGATAATGATAAATATGATACTTGTTGTATTTATCAGTAACCTATATTCGTTACCTGAATAGGTAAACAGGATGTTTTGCTTTTAAATGAATTATATGGCCTGCCTGCGCAGATGAAGAACATTTGTCCGCGGAGTACAAAAGTCACTCAATCTTAAAAACATATGTCCCCCGAGAACTTGTTACCCCTCTTTTACACCAAGTTTTAATACATGTACTCGTATTTAGCAAGTTTTATACATTGTCCTAATTTTTTGTGCACACGTATATACATAGTTATATTTTTTAAGCATGTAACTGCTTGATGTTAAAATCTAAAAATATATCTGAAAAAAAACAGGCAGCAGACGGGACTCGAACCCGCACTTTTCGCTATCCGGGCGAATGTACTGATCAATTATTTTTTTTCTTTAGGCTTATATGCGAGTACATGTTTAAAACATGAATATACTTCATGTTATAGTTGTAATAAACTTGTCGGAGAAACAAAATATGTGAAGTAAATGAGTGATTGATACTGGTCAGATACAAGTTGTTTATGCGGTGTAAAAAATGTTAAACTCGCGTCATGACACGTGGGCTGATCGCATCACAGGCCACGTGTCCTGACCGTAAGACGAAAACAATAAAATTGGAAAGGTTGTTGACTTTCAATATATTGGATGAAGCATAGTAATATTTTATTTTATCGTATTATAATAATAAGTCTGTATCTAGGACGCCCAGGTGGCAGCTTTATTGCGAAGAAAATGCATTTTTTTACAATAGATGTCGCTAGGTGCGCTTAAATAAGAAATTCTGAGAAATAAACTTTTTAATGTAATATAAATTGTCATGTTTGTGTACGATAGCGCAATAAATAAATATTGTATTCTACCACATAAATGATGGTACTTTTATACTGATAATTAAAGAAATTCGTGCAAAATTATTCCCTAACCATTCCAAAATATCAAAAATGCACAACGTTAATATTCAAGTTTTAACTGCTGCCGGCACTCCCGGAGTGGAACCCGTATTTTTTTTATCTCGTATATAGTTTTTGCGATAATAAAGCAATAATGTATATTTGGTTGGGTGGTTTATTAAAATTTAAAGTAGTAATTTAAAAATTTATGATAGTAATGTTCCTCGCCTGCGCAGGAATTAAGGGTCTGTTTCACAACCGATAAGTAAAGTTGTGAATAAGTTACTTCAAAAATAAAAGTGTGTTCATACTCTTCGCAGTATTGTTATCCCTTAGTAGGCATTGTTAATTAAATGTTCCTCATAAGATCATATTCGTTGCTCAGATACTATATGGGCTGCGCTATTCTAAGAGAACAAACTCACTTTTCACCGAGGAATTCGGATGTGTATTGAATATTATTTGAAATTCGTATTCTAATAAATGTAAATTAAATTAATTAAACGGATTCCGAGGTGAAAAGTCAGTATGTCCTTACAGAATATCACTTCTGCTTATACGTACATAGGTAATCTAATGAAATTACTATGGCAGTTTTTTATTTTAATCGTTATTAAATATCGCTATAGTAAAGCAGATATACAAGTTCTGCTAAGATTTGAATTTGGAGTAGATACCTAATTACATTAAAACAAATAAGCAATAATTCACGTAAGCCGTTACAAATTATAAAAACTTTAGGCTGGCTTATTCATTATTAAAATTAATCAGTGATGGATGTTTTTGGAACAAGAACGTAACGTGTTAAGTAAAGGTTACCGCACACAAAACAGTGTATAAAATTAAACCACCTGGGCCGTCTTGTATTATTCAACTTTAATTCGAGCCACCACTAAACAGTGATGATAAACGCCTTCAAAGTGGTTATTCACATTATTTTATGGGGGGGAAATTCAAATTTTTGACGTGTAACATCTTTCCTCTCCCTTTCCTGCAATATGTGGGATTTCGTGAAATGGGACGGAAGTGTGTAACAGGAAGTCGCGAAGCGCGCGCTATTTGATTTGATTTTAGAACATAATGTTCATGTGCCTTATTTCTTTTGTAGTAGGTTTTATTTCTTTTTTTACTTATATAAGGTGAGGTTTCAAATGTTACACATCATACGCGACTACTGTAAGGCTGGGTCGTTTTTTTTCAACTTTTTAATTATTTCGAATTTGGCACATGTATATTATTTAAAAAAATCTTTCCATTTAGCACCATTTCACAAATTTTCGTGTTCATTATCAAATTACAGTATGGAATGGGGTGTTAAAGAAAATAGGATTGTAGTGATCGCCTTGCACAAAGTAGGTATGGAGCCGTCGGTGATATTCGAGACACTTCAAAAGCTTGGTATCAGCTGTATGTGCATATATTGTATTATCGAACAGATACAACAACACTTCGTCTGTCGAAGACCAGAAAAGATCGGGACGGCCGCGTGCTGCTAGGACTACAAAGGCTGTTAATGCTGTTAAAGCCATAATTCGTCAAAACCTCATTAGGAAGCAAAAAATCTTATCGCGAAAAATGAAGATTCTCGCTAAGACTCTATCGCCTATTATAAAACAAGACCTGAAGCTGATTATCGATAAACAGGACATGCCCTACATTAATCTTTATAACTAAAGAGGATCGATCAAAACGCCTTCTGTCGCGATACGCAGGTGAAAAGCATCGAAATATCCTCTTTACCGATGCAAAAATCTTCACGATTGGGGAAGACTGCAATAAGTAAAATGATAAAGTGTACGCTGACAGTTCTAAAGAAGCTGCTGCGTCCTGCGTCAGTGATGGTTTGGTGGGGCATGTCTTATCAAGGAGTCACAAAACTACATTTTTGTGAAAAAGGAGTGAAAACTTTGACCAGTGTATCAAGATACATTCTTGGATCATGTTGTGAAACCTCTCAGCAATGCACTTTTTAATGTATACCGTGGACTTTCCAGCAGGATTCTGTACCTTGTCACAAGGCACGAACTACCCAGGCCTGGCTTGAAACCAACGTTCCGGACTTTATAAGAGCTGAAGACTGACCCTCATCTAGCCCAGACCTCTACCCTTAAGACTTCACATTATGGTCAGTTTTAGTGGACATGTCCTGCTCCAAAAGACACGGCGACATTGAGTCTCTTAAAAAATCTTTGGAGCAAGCAGTGGCGAAATTTCCCTTGGAAAAAGTGCTAAAATCCGTAGATTCGTGGCCAAACAGATTAAAGGCCTGTATAAAAGCCAAAGGTGGCAATTTAGAATAGAATATTTTTTTATTTTTTGCTGAGACTTTAATGAATATGTAGGGTACAAATTTCAATAATATTACACTGCATTACTTAATTTAAATAAATGCATTTTCATTTGTAACAGAACTTATGGCTGGACTAGGTATATGAGCGGTTCGAAGCCGTCGGCATCACAACTGCAGCCGTCGACTTTTGCCAACGATGTGGCGACGATCGCAACTGTGAACGGATCAACGGCAGCCGTCGCCACATCGACGGCTTTAATTAATATGTAGGTATAATTTTTTTATAATATTATATTACTACATTTAAAAAAAATGCATTTTCCTTTGTAACAGAACTTATGGCTGGACTAGGTATACGAGCGGTTCGAAGCCGTCGGCACATCGACGGCTGGTTGACGACTATCAACGACGGCTGCCATCAACGGATTGGCGGCTGATGGTTGTGGCTGACGGCGGGTGGCTGCGGCTGACGGCTCGTCGGCGGCGGTCACAACCACGTTGACGGCAGAGGTCGACGGCTGCCGTTGGCGCCTCATTGTCACCCAGTGAACGTCAGGTGAACGCAACACCGTTGCACAGCTGACTCCGCGTTGTCTTTGAAAATTAAGTAGCGTGTTAGAGATCGTCACTAGGTTTAAACGTGTGCTTTCACAATATTTAATTTTGCAACCATGAATTGGTTCTAATAAATCTAATCGCAACGGATGGTCACCGAGTTCTTCTACCGCCGCCAGGGACACCTTACGAGCGAGGCTATCCGGTGACGGTACGGAGTTGATGTCAAAAAAATATTAATCACACGAGTTGGCGGGTGGGCTACTGAGCTTTTACGATAATGGTTATATTGGATGTTTTTATTGTTACATACCGAAGCTAAGAGAAGTCTGCTCAGGAAGACTGCTTTGTGGCTCAGTGGAGTAGTACCCTTAAATATCATAGTTGATGTAATGATTAAATCATATATGGTTTTCTCTTATCAATAGCTAATAAATACGTTACTTTTATGATATTTATGAATTTGTTTTTATCTTCCACTTCTTATAAATAGGAATCCGACTAGAAACAGTCATTGTTTTGTTGAAGTGAATTGTTACAATGCGTGTTACAGTGAACTTGATCATACTGTATGTCGCTGTTGCGGCAGGTAAAGTTGTATACAAATAATATTTACTGTAAGAATAAACTTAGAAGCTTTCGCAATACAGTAATGAGACGACGAATCACAAGAGTAGCAGGTCCATGCTTTGTATTTAAGTTGATATTTTACATAATATCTCAATATCAAATTTATATATTTAATATTTTCTTAATGTTGTATTAATAAAAAAAATGTTTGTGTATATCGTGTCGCACTTCATGTGGCTATTCGTATATGCTGTTTGTAAACTTGACAATTAGAGGAGCTAGATGGCGCAGGTGGTTAGCGTATTCGGCCCGCGATCGTGAAAGTTAAGTAACGGTCATAAGTTGGGTGACCAAAAACTTATAATCCTTCGTGCTTTGAAAGACACTTTAAACCATTGGTACAGGCTGCAATTGCAGTTGTTAGCGCCCAAAAGTCTGCACTGGGCCCGCGTGGTGGGTCACGTCCCAATTTCCCTATTCCATTTATAGGAAAGGCATGTTCCCCTTTCAGTGGGGACATTGATAGGTTGATCATGAAACTAGACAGTCTCTCCTTTTTTCTTTTCTCCTTAAAAAGGAGAGAGCATAATAAGAACATACTGCTGTCAAGTTTCAAACTTTATATGGTGAAATTTTAAGATTATATTGAAATACTATACATGTGTATTTCTATATATAATTAATTAAATATAAATAATATTATATTTAACTCAAACACCTCGCATTTTTACTGAGCTTTGAGGTAGGAAGAGAGAACAGAACGCTACAAGGCCCATCACAAATATTTTGTTTCTTTCGCTGATATTTAGGGCACTAGACATCACCTACTTTTAATGATATTCCTCAAGCTCAATTTCTAGCCCACAGCATCTATAATCCTCTATTGAGACTTATATTATTTTGTTCTGGCTGCCAACAACCAAGCCAGAATTCCAATACCAGCTGGTATACATCCTCAAGTAGCAGCCTTGTTGCGTGCTGGCAATTTACAGAGATACACCCAAACATGCGCTGGAACTATACTTAATAACCGATCAGTGCTCACAGCTGCCCGTTGCGTGAGGTATTTATGAAACAACTAGCGGCCCGCTCTCGCTTCGCTTCGGTGTAGAGCTGAAGTGTAGACTACAGTTTTTGTTCTCAGGCTTGTATTATACACAATGACATTCATCTATGATTCTTCTTATACCTGCATGCAAACTCTCAGCCCGATCGGTTTAAAATTGACTAAGTTTCATACAAACTTTCATTCCCTATTTTATACCCTTGGGGGTAGAATTGATCAAAATCCTTTCTTAGCGGATGCCTACGCTACGTCATAACATCTACCTGCATGCCATTCAGCCCGATCCGTGCAGTGGTTTGGGCTGTGCGTTGAAAGATCACTATGTCAGTCAGTCAGTCACTTTTGAGTTTTATGTGTATAGATTAGGTTTCACGTTATGTACTTAATGAAAAAATCTGCAGTTTATAATGGCTCAATTACACTTGGTCGTTAGTTCGGGTGCACGAAATACATTACTCGAATTCGGGCAAGCAATATTTACACTGGAATACGGGCTGGAAGACGGTGTCGGGAAATCAAAACGAAAACTAGGGACGAATACTGTTAGGAAGTGATGCGCATACATACTTTTCGACGCCTCATTTTTATATATATTAAGAAAAATATACTCTCGTATTTCTTGGTATTATTTTAATTATTGCTTTGCGTGCTTAATCCATTAAGAGTGGCCATACATTGACGGCTTAAAGCAGTCAGGTTGGACTTCTTCAAGCTGCGCCTGCATAGTGAACTACAGTCTTCTACAAATACTCATACACGAAACAGCTCGAGAAGTTCGACTACTTCGGGCGGTTGCAAGCGCGGTGAAATGGCAGCTTCCAGCTGTTGGCGCTGACTGCTCGAGCAGTCCGTGTATGGCCGCTCGAATGTTGGAAACCTTTCTAAGTCTACGGATACGGTTCCCAAATCGTGAAATTGATTTCTCGCATAATACTTGCTCTTTGCTATCGCAAATCCTATATTCGGCTGGAGTGTTAGTTAATCATCAAGCCTTTTGTCTAGAAATCCTCACAGTTCCAAGCCCGTGACGCTGTTAATTTACCGTGACTAACAATTTGTTGGTTTGATATCAAGAATATTAATACGTGCAAAACCTAGATTATATTGTAGAAACAAGAAAACTAGTTGTAAGAAAATTACCCCACCAATAATAAAAAAAATGTAGCCGCTAAAGACTTTTTCCAACTTTCCGTGACTAGATCGGGTTAATGATATATTTTTAATATATTATTAAAGAAAAACACCCTTGACAGCAGAAAAATCCAATATATTTCATAAAACAAAATCATAAACAAACATAAAGAATATACAAAATCAAGGAAAAAATATTGTGATATCAAAAGGACGATGACGAAGAAAAAAGGGGACGATTGGGCCGAATGCACACTCGGCCCCATTGACCCCATTTTTAAAGAGCGACAAGCTTTTAAAATTTGGCCACTTGATTCCGGACATCGAACACACGCACCACCACGACCCACCCTGGATATAATGCATCTAAGATACCGCGATTAAATTGGTAAATCCTTGGTAAATAGCCATCACCAATGAGTACCGTGTCTCACCTCACTGGTCACTAATAAGATAACAGCACTTGGTACGCGACGTGGTTCCAACATCGGAAGATACTCCCGAAACAAACGGCGCCAGAAATGGTCTGATAAGTGTAAAGCCTTACGTCAACTATTACTGTTACACAGATCGTAGTCTCGGCGCTGCGTTAGGCCTTCCGGCGCTGATCTTCCCGCAGGTCCCCGATCAGAAAGTGGTTCGGTGTCAAAGCCTCGGTGGTAATCTGGATCCGGTGACACGTGCGTCAGTGGAGTATTTACAATGTCTTCTGCTTCCGTCAGTAGTGTGGCAAGGATCTCATCATGAGAGCTCTCTCGCGTAAGGTACCAGGGGTTCTCACAGACATCACAAGCTGTTCCCAAACTCCTTCCATGAATGGCGCCGATGGCAGTATGAGGCGCCATTTTATTTGGTTTGATGGCATTAATTCAGAAACATGACGATCGTACCGCACTCGTAATTGCCGATGAGCACCCTTGAACGAGATCCCGTTGTCCGAGTAGATGATATCGGGTGTACCTTGGCTAGCCATAAATCTGCGTAGGCACACGATCGCGGCCTCGATGAGAGTTTCTTTCTTTCTTTCTTTCTTCTTTTTTCTCGCCTGCGTCCGACTGTGACTTGTAGGCGTCAGAAATAATCAATCCCTACGACTACGAAAAGTCTCTTGTGTTGGATGACCGTACGTCCGGGAGGTCTCCCATAAGTAGTTTTAATAAGGGAGGGAACTCGTAAAATTTTACATGTTTGGCAGGTTCGGATAATCGATTTGATCGCGTTTCGGACTTCCAAGATCGAATGTGCTGCCGAAGTTCATTAAGTACAGTCTCTGTATTAGCGTGCGCGAACTTTGTATGTAGGAAATTAATGAGTAGGCGGACCGAGGGATCCTTGCCGTCCAGAATGATTGGGAACTTAACTTGATCTTTGATGTCTGCTGCAGATATGCGTCCTGATACACAAATTAGGCCCTTTTCGTTTAATATTGGAGGAAATTTCTAAATGCGTTTTTTTTTAAATAAGTACGTGTCCAACCAAACATGACATTTTCGTTTTGAATGTGACCAACTAACTCACTAGCAGCACATGGTATTTGGCGCGATCAATCGCTTCTGGGTCCGATCAGTTGACGGGCAATTATTGTTAATCTGTCGATGAGTGCTGAAAAAGTCAGTTACTATGTCTCTGATTAGTAGATTAAAAACTGAATCGTCCCTGATGAATGGCTTTATGGAAGATGGTTGCAATGGTCTGATGAAAACGTGCAGTTGCTCTTAATGCCCTAACCCAAGAACTAACGTGAGTTGCATCTACTGCTACTGGTATGGGCTCCTGTCGCGAATGATTTAAGATGACTGCTTCTACGACGCATGAGGTTGACGATAACATGGGGAGTGGCTGAGGTGCCGATTGATTTTAAAATGAACTTCGGCATGGTTATTCAGCGCGACTCAACGTTCAACACTTTGCATTTGCCCCTAGTAGCATTGTCAGCCACGTTTAGCTCTGTTGGAACCAAACGTCAGTCACTAATATTAGTGATTTCTATTATTTCGCCTACACGGTACATAACGAAAGGCTTGTACTTCCTCGCATAACTTCTTAGCCATCCAAGAACTGGTATTGATGTAAAGCCCGTCCGGTAAAGCCACCTCCACCTTACATAAAACACAGTTTCTGTAGTCAAAACTTTGATAGTTGAAAGTTTTACTTTGATAGTGCAAGTGTCCCGATTTATTTGCTGTCCAATGGGTATAATCTAAAAATGACTGAAGAATATTATTTCTTCTTAGTATACAAAAGCATGTTATTTAAATGAATATTTTCGAAGATATTACAGATTTAAAATGCAGGGACATAGCGGTTCCGACGCTACCGGGCGGGGGGCCTGGTGGCGCGTGCCTATTGTAATTAGTTATTAAGAATGTCATTGTATATAATACAAGCCTGAGAACAAAAACTATAGTCTACACTACAGCTCTACACCGAAGCGAAGCGAGGGCGGGCCACTAGTTTAACATAATAAAATATCGAGTGCTGCTAGTTTGATTGTATGGAAATATGTTTTCAGTGACGGCAGAGATGTAGATGAGCCCAACCTTTGGCGTTTCCGCGTTGGATCATCTCGGTGGGACATTGGTGGTGACGTGTACCTCGTCAGGAACATCATCATCAATGACTTCGACCAATGGAGTATGATGAACGATGTGGCTGTCCTGCGCTCTGCGGGCACCATAGTCTTCGGGCCTAACGTGCAACCCGGCCAATTTGCTGGCTCTGACTACTTCCTCCAAAATAACCAAGCAATTAGCACCGTTGGGTGGGGTTACCTTGGCGTAAGTGTTTCTTTTCAAAAAATGTAAATCTATGTAGTATTAAAACCGGTCAAGTGCGTGTCGTGTCGTGCCACGCGCAGTGTACAGTTCTGTAGATAATTCATAGTGTTTTTTTTTAGTTTGCTTTTCAATGCAAGGTTTTACGGGTAATAAACAAGCAAATACTTAATCTAAGTCACTTAGAATCTTTTGTAAGTATAGACTAATATTTTTTTAATAGGTAATACAAAGGTTGAACAAATCGATACACTTTTCCTTGAAATATTATGAATATCACTATTATCATGATTTTAGCTCTTATAGTGGGGGGGGGGGGGGGGGGTAGGAGCTACAAAAATTAGCACTTTAAAAGTTAATATTTCGCGAATGAATCCCTAAATCTAAGCCTTAGCATTCTCTAGGTCATTTTAAAGAACTTAAGCAAAGAACGGGAGCTACCCTAAAAAATTTTATTCCACCACTCTGTCGGCGTGATTGATATACATACTTATACAAAGGACATCGACGAAATCGGCCCAGCATGCAAAAACGAATGTTTTCACTATTATTTTTCTATTTTTACAATAGTCAATAGTTGTACGCGTAAAATGTGTTTTAAATAGGAATAAACAAAGAAATGCATAAATAAAATAAATAAATAGTGGCGGTAACCAAAAATAGATGTATAGCATGTATAAAACGATAAGGATTAATAGTTTTTCATGTTTTTTTTTATCGTAAAGTCTTTACTTAGGTTGTCGATGATTTGATATTTTACTCTAGGTATGACTCATCTAACAAATTGCTAGCTAGGTTTAGATTATATCTACCTTGTGAGAATGAGGTTCATAGAGCAGTGGTTAGTGTATCTGTACTGATCGTGGATATTATTACGTATGTGATGGATAAAACATTCGTTATCTCGAGTTCCTCCGTGCTTCAAAGGGCACCTTATAGTAGGAGAGCTACTGAACCCTCCGAGTAACGGTCTGTCTGTAAGGCTAGAAATTCTTATGGTGATGAGTCATAACATGCTTAGTACGGTAAGCAACGCCTGGCTCTCCTCAGCCCTGCACGTCAGCAAGCCCTATATTTTTGAAATTGCCAATAAAATATTAAAAAGAACTTGTTGCTGTTACACCGAGGGGCCATGTAGCGAAGTGCGTCTGTGGGCCTGTGTCATTTCGAGCATTTGTATGTAGTTTCCTTACTGTTAGATTTATATTCTGTGTCATTGGCTTTCCTATTCTTATTTGAATCGCATAGTACAGCACAGCCGTACCGACTCGGAAGCGGACTCGCCGTTTCGCTCGCGCTGCGTTGAAGGGTACAGTTACAGTTCTGTCCTGCTCGTTCGATAAAATGTTTATATACAGACGTGTGCGTGTGTGAGAGTTGCTTAAATATGTAGTTGAGTCAGATCATATTTTATTTGATGCTAGTATGAGCGTACCGTATCTTCCCTTTTTGTTTTAATTTAAGCCCTGAACCCAATTCCCTACCCCGTGTAGCCCGTGAATTAAGCTATTTATTAATAAGACGCAGGGTTCTCTCGGGTTAAAAGAGAAGAACGCAGGAAGAGTTCTTTGAGGAAAAATAGTTTTTTCTTAGAGCATTTTCTTATAAAAACAGCTAGCAGGTACTTTAATATTTTCAACGAATATGAAAAAATGAATTTAATTTTAAAAGAACTTAATAATCGCATGTTTATTCAATAGGAAATTTTTACTTACCTTACATAAATTAAAGTTATGTATTTATAGAGTTGATATAGTATCACATGTACGACAAAAGTATAATATAAACAAAAGGTTCTAAAATGAATTGACCAAAATTTAGTTACAGGATACTAATGCAATTTTCAAAGTATCTTCCAAAAAAAAACTCTTAATTTATCGAATTATAGTACTTTTCTCAATCACGAATTATGTTCTTCTATTATTTCTGATAATATGTGCGAAGGGGAAAAGCCAACTGTGCCCTACCCTGTCTTGATAGTGTTGTTATGATGATTATAAAAAAGGATAACGGAATTTCCAAGCAACCGATAATAATCGCAAAAACGAGAATCGTCAGCTGGGTAATTAATATGATAAACATGTATTTATTGTGGCTTTTCCCATTCAAAGATAACATGCATATAAATAGTCGCAATTATCCAAAAAAAGATAGCTATGATTCAGATAATACGATAAGTCTGATTAATTTCGTTACATACAGAAGGCCAAGGAAAAGTTTCTTCATACCAATATGCAGAAAGTAAATCTGTCTTCTGAGCCTGTTCTCGCGCCAGCTAGTAAATAATACTTATGTATAGGGAAAATGCATGATTGTTTTTTATATATTTATTTCATAGTTGACATAGCATAGTATAAAAATAGTAGTTTTTAAAAATAGCCATTTTTCACGGGCATTTCAAACGCTTGCTATTTTGGAACTCTTGGTGTGACGTCAAAGTCCACAGCAACCTAGCAACAACACAAAGAAGTCTATAATTATGCCTTAATTTCATTTGGTTGTTAGCCCGTATTCGGGTGTACGAAAGATATTACTTGAATTCGGGCACCCGAAGCCAAAACGAAAACTACCCAAAACCGGGCGTACTCGACTCCGTTCATTTACCCGGCACTCGTAATCGACCTAACGACTATGTGTAATCGCGCCATTAAACTAAAGATAAGCTTTGACATATTCTCGGAACATGGTGCTAGATTGTTTATTTTTTGTAATGTATTAATACTTAACAACCAGTCTGTCACGTTTAAGATATTTAAATATCCCACAAGTTTTTCACGAAACTCAAAAAGAAATTTTATTAAAATATTGATGAAGGGACAATTCAAAGGTTGTAGAGTTTAAATAAAAAAAAGAGCCTTATTTGAATTACATGCATATTTCCTTTTACTAGTTCGTTGGAACTGCATAAAAATCGGTTGTCTAGTTTAAAAGATCTAAACGTACATGCGGTAGGAGCGACTTTGTGTTATGTAAAGATGAGGTTATTGTTGTACAATACGTGTAAAATGTTTCTTTTTTTCAGTTCCCGTTGTGGTATCCCAAAAATTACTCGGAGCTGCAACGCGTGCAACTGTGGACGATCGACGTGAACATCTGCCGGCAATCATACTTCGCAGAAGGATTTTACGTACAAAACTCTATGATTTGCTCCGGGTTCATTAATCCCAACGCAGTCGCCGGCGCCTCGGTTCGTGATAGATGCTTCGGGGAGCCCGGTGCTCCTATGTTTCATTCCAATGTTGTGGTCGGTATCAGGTCCTACGGTCTCAGCTGTATGAGTAACGCCGCCATTCCCTCGATTAACACACGAGTGAGCAGTCACATCGATTGGATCATCAGCAACGCTTAAAGTATAGAACATTCTCGATCACCCATTCTTACCAAAGGAGAAGAATAAAATGTAAGAAAAGTTAAGTTTTATCTTTGTTTTAAGATTATTTATTTATTAGTTTTGCTATTGGCATCTGCGATTTGGTATTGAAAATTAGAACACGTTTTGATTTGAATGTCTTATAAATTTAACTTTTTGTCTTCAATACATATTGAAGGTGAAAAAAAATTCAACAAAATCATAATTAAATGAATTTATTACTATAAGACTATGAATCAAAAGGCTAGGTAGTTTTACTGTACACGCCGCTGTGCAGTAATAGTTATTTATCATATTAGTGCGGTAAATTAGTTATTACAAACGAGTAGACGAATGTAAGGTCGATACGAAGTTGAGGGCTTACCATAGTCACGAGGTTGTAAAATATCAATTTTGCACGAATGTCATACAATGTTTTCCAACACATTTGAGCGAAAATAATTAAGAGATATGGAAGAAAACTTTTACTAATAACAATATTTTCAGTAATAATTTTACTGCCTCATAAATTTGAAGTTTAGATTAATACAAAAAAAAAAGATACGTAAGCTCATACTAGCATTAAATAAAATATGCTCCGATTCAACTACATAAGCGACGCTAAATAAACATTCAATCGAGCGAGCGAGACTGCGATTCCGCATGGCTCAGCTGTATTGTTGTCTTTTTCTTGATAATAACATGTTTCCTTTTTGTTTTAATCTAAGATTTGAAGTCAATATCACTATCATGATCTCCCTGCTAAACACATGGCTTGGTGTCGACTTCAAATATATCAGGCGGTATTTTTTTTTAAAGTCGGTTCTAATTTTATTCAAAATAATTGATTTTTATATTTTTAGTGTAATATGTAATACGCTACTGATTGCAAATCTTATAAGCGTAGGTAGAAAATCGCGCTTATGCGCGTTCTTCCAATCAATGTACGCGGGTGAAACCATGTAATACTGCAATTATATAGCAGAGTATACTAAAACCTTTCCTGATAAATTCGCATTTATTTACCGAAAACCCCATCGAAATCGGATCACTAGTTTTTGAGACAATCGCGGACAATAACAAATACATACAAACATTCAGGTCTAACAGAGAACATCCTTTTTGAAGTCTGTTAAAAATGGTGACCATTTCCAAATGGCGCCACGTGCAGGTGATAAAGCCGGATCTCCAGCTGGTGTTTTGCCCTACACAATCAACATAAACATATCAACATTGACAAAACCGTCTTCACAAAACTTTGTTTCACTTCACATATTTCTTTGCATCAACAAAGTTTTTGCTTTCCGAGCCTGATGGAAACACGTACACAAATCACCCCCGCGTGGGTCGAGGGGCAGGGTATTGTTCCATCAGCCATTTTTTTTACAACTTACTAGCGGGGCTGCTTTCTAAATCTACGCTCCGAGTGCAACTTTTCACTCTGAGATTTCAATGTTGACATAAAATGCATAAAATATTTGTCAAAATGTCAATTTCTGCACCTGAATCGTATGTTTGGAACGCAGACCTGTGTATTTTGTGTACGACTGCCACGTTAGCAGTACACGGCGTATGTAGAGAAACATGTTTCGGAAACAAAGTTTTGTGTATGTATTTTTGTTGAAAGTTTTCCAAAAAAAATCGCTGGATCCATGCTTTAAATCCTCTATAATGGACTCTGAAACAGTTAGCATATTACCAACATTAAAACAACCAATGTCCTAATAAAAAAAAAACCCATAATATAGTCAAAACGGGTGTTATAATGTTTTATTAAATTTGTAAAAAATAGTGTTGTAAAAATGATAAAAAACAGGACCCTATTACTAAGCCTCCACTATCGGTCAGTCTGTCTGTCTGTTCCAGGCTGAATCGGAAGTTTTAAGATGTATGTCATGAACCGTGGCAGCTAGACAGTTAAAATTTCCACAGATGATGTATTTCTATTGCCGCTATAACAACAAATATGGAATAAAATAAATATTTAAGGGGGGCTCCCATACAACAAACGTTTTTCTTTCGCCATGTTTTGCTCTATATTAATAACGGCAACAGGTAGTCGCTTAAAATATTCACCGAATTTAAGAAAAGATTTATATCCATTTTCCAAAAATAAATATTTAAAAGATCTCTCATACAACAGGTATTTTTTGCTGTTTTGAGCTCGATGTTATAATATAGTATTTAATGATATATAGATAATGGTACGGAACCCTTCGTGCACTAGTCCGATTCGCACTTGGCCGGTTATACCGATCCATTTTGAGCAAAAGGTTTACTTATCAGACAGCCACATTCTCACTACTCGATGCCTGGTTTGTTACTTGTATGAATTTCAAAAAAAAAAACATTGTCATTCACGCGCTTTTCACTACCATAGCGCGGTAAAAAAAGTTGTAAGTTATTCGAATGCCTGACATTGTCCTTCGATATTAGTTTTGCGATTTTTAAATGTATTAGTTTGTTGTTTTGTTAATGAAAATGAGCGATTTAAGTTTTGATGACACACCACCAGATATTTCAAATGCAGAAAAGGACATTTCCAACCAATTACTACTGGAAAAATAAAGAAAACAGTATGATAAGGCGTATCACAATTTCATCAATTGGAAAATATCTAATGTTAAATATATAAACATATAGGAAGACAATTTATATCATGGGCTTAGATAAAGTCATGTATGCAGCTGTTTATAATTAGGTATTACAAGTACGAGTATGAAGCTGTTTATAATTAGGTAATGTAAACACTCATGCTGATACTATTATCACCGGAAAATCCAAAATCGTGTTTTAATACCCCTCAATATACAACAGTTGCATAATATATGCATGGGTACTATTGATCGTTGTACTAAACTATAATCGTTCATTTTTTTTGCCTTAATAGTAGGACACGGCATTCCTCAACTTTGTTAAACCAGTTTTTTTTTTATATTTTTTTATTTTATAGTCATAATTTTTATATTATTTGCATTTGTAATGGAAAGTGACTTTATGAGTTACCTCATATTGTAGTGTCATTTTTCAATTTGACGACTCTGTATATAATACAGGGAGAAAAAAAACAGCCCTTGCTGAGTTTCTTGCCGGTTCTTCTCAGTACAAGGTCTCCCGCCGTAGATTTGCGAACCGATGGCGTAGCTTTTCGACATTCACAAGTGCTTGTAACAGCCTAGACTAAATAAACGATATTGAATTTTGTTTTTTTTTTATTATACATACAAAGGAAATACAGACCATACGAGCCATACAAAGGATTGTATGGCGCAATTTTGTACTTTTGAACAATGTGTACAACCACCGTAAAAGCATTTTCTAAGCAAATGTTTTGAAAAAGAAATTTAAGTGTGTGCCAGGCTGTACCTGCGCGGCGCGCGATTGCCATTAATGCTAACTTCTCAACCATTGCTATATTCTCATTCATACCTTAGTTTGGATCGCACAGTCGTTGGTAAAGATCGAATATAGAATTATTTTCTCACCAGTTACAATGAATGTTATCCGTGATACTTTCCTTTTTCACTTCTGACCGTGGGGAACCTACTAAGCGATCAGAGAATTATCAGTTTCAATGTAGCATAGGACAGGGGGTTTCACTGTTTCCAACTGTTAAACTGATTGTGGAGCTGAGCAGAATCCTTGACGGCCTTAAGTTGAAAGACAGTGTAATAATGGTACGCAGTTAATGATTTTTTTATTATAGCCGCATTCGTGGTATTCTTTATGCCTGAAGGTTGACTGGCAGAGAATGCTTTTAGCGTTAAGTCCGCCTTTTGTCCATTTTTGTAATTGTGACAATAAAGTTTAAATAAATAAATAAATGTGTGCCTAAAATAATGTTGGTCAGATCAGTTACTTGGAATCCCTGTAGGTAGTAAGCTTTTAAAAATAACTAAACGCACAAGGGAAAATTATGATAATGATAAAATAACAATAAATCCGAATAATACAAGAGATAAGTACCTAATCAGAGATAACAAAAAGGAAAAATTGATAGAATCTTATGCTTAGCGTAGTTACGAAAGAGAATTTCCAGTAATAGCATATGTCATAGATGTTCTAATTAAAAATTGATAATACGGTAAATCTTCATACGATAAGATTATATTTTTTAATATAAAAAGAATGAGCAAGTATTTTCTTTAATTAAAGTGGTTGTGATCTAGTAGTAGTAAAGTGATTTTATTAACCTACCACAATGAGAGTTTTAGTTGGTATAGTATTATTGTTGGCCCTCACAGCTGATGCAGGTAAATATTTAAACCATACATATAATTTAGCTAACATTCATAAGTTTTGTTGAGAGAATAGATATCATTGTAGGTTTAATTAAGTGCTTAGAGATTTTATATTTGCTTTTAACCATATAAGTGGGGTAGGGCAAAGCGGATTTTCTACTGGAATGGAAGGATAGTCTAGTCGGTCACTAGGCAAATAACCTTCACCATTCAGAAGACTGCAAGTTTTGGTTAATAACAGATATTGTGGTGTAAATTCCAGATGTGTTGTATTCCAAGGTAACTGTGCACGTAGGGGAATGTTTAAATTAGATTTAAATTCAGTCAACTGGAATTAAAAAGTTTAGTTTAACAACTTTCGTACGCTTATGGAGTAACTGACTTTATCTGTATAGTTTGTGTATAACCTCTTAATTCCAAGAAATCCTAAATTACACGTGAATATAAGAAGAACTGTTTCTTAAAGGAAATAATACTGAAGTTTATTCTGTGAAGTTCTAGTTTCCTTTGTATACCTTTTGGAAGAACAGGATAATATAACAAAAGGCCATAGAAGAGCCAGCTTCAAATGAACTATGAGGCAGTTGCTTGTTTCCAGACATGCAAAGAACTAGATCTACATTTTTTCTTTATTGAATATCATAGCGTGTTTCAAGTTGACTAATGATACTATTTTATCTTATTTCAGCTGTTACCAGGGAACAAAGGATTGCTGGTGGTTCCGTTACGACCATCACCAATTATCCTGAAATGGTCTCATTGTTGTACTCCGCTGGCTCATCCAACCATCGGCAACAATGTGTTGGCACAATTCTTACTAACAGAGCAATTCTGACTGCTGGACATTGTACATAGTTGGTATCCACCTCGATAATTTTCTTTAAAGTACATTCTCGAATGGCGCTTTGTTAATGCTAACATTTTTGTTTACAGTGGACATGGGAGAGACAGGTGGCGTGCACGTGTCGGATCCACCAATGCTAACAGCGGCGGCACCGTCTATAGTACTCAACACATCACCGTTCATCCTTTCTACAATACCTTGACCTTGGACAGTGATATCGCTATCATCCGCACCTCGAGCAATATTCAATTTAACAATCTAGTTCGAGCTGGAAACATCGCCGGACCTAACTATTTCTTAGGTGATAACCAAGTCGTTTGGGCAGCTGGTTGGGGTGTTACTCAGGTGAGCACTTTCAAATGAATAGTTATAGCACGTCGATTCTGTAATATATACTGTGCCTTGCGATCTCATTATGGATTTTTGAGAAATTGACAAATATATATATATATATATATATATATATATATATATATATATATATATATTACTATTCTACCTTACTCTTCAACCACCAATGCTTCAATATTCATTCTGACATTTTGCCGTTAAATGTCGTAATGCATATTTATTTAATGTCTAAAATTAAAGCTAACGAATTCGGAACTTAGTTCCGATTTTACTATAAATAATTGTATGTTGATCTTTTGTTTTTTTTTTGTTTTAGTATCAAGGGCAACCTTCGGAGCAGTTGAGACACGTGCAAATTTGGACCGTGAATCAGGCCGTTTGTAGAAGCCGCTACGCTGAACGTAACCGTCAGATCACTGATAATATGCTATGCGCTGGTTGGCTCGACGTCGGCGGTCGTGACCACTGCTCGAGGGACGCCGGTGGGCCGCTGTTCCACAACAGAGTTGTCGTCGGCGTGAGCTCTTTCGGTGTCGGCTGTGGCGACGCTCGCTATCCTGGTGTCAGTACGCGGGTATCGCGTTTTACCACCTGGATTCAGAACAATGCATAGCCCTTTTGATATTTATTGCATTTTTTGACCAGAATAGTATTTGTGGAACTCATGCCTACCAACCGGAATATACCTCTGAAGCATTTTTCTTCGATTTATTTTGTCGTTTTTCGACATGACTACCATATACTATAATTTATTTAATAAGCTAGTTCGAAGAAAGTTACGTGTGATTAGGAGAATATTCAAAATATTTGAAATTTCAAACAGCAACATGTTTTGTTTAATAAGTTGCGTACCCAGTAAATCAGTTTTCAAGTTCCTGGTGTAAGGTTGGGAGCGGAAGAAAAGAATAAGGGATAGCTGCTATTTTCCGTATTTATGCAGTCACTCTATTCCCGTCTATGCGCTGCTGAAATAGGAATTTAATGAGATTGAAAGAAAAATATTAATAGAGGACAGCCGTATAATAGTACTATTGTAAAATTTAAAAATAAAAAAATATCGCTATATAGTTGTTACATTTATAGAAAAAATCTTCAAGTAACATCATAACATTAATACATGGAATAACAGCATATGATGGAATATGTTAATCGAAAAGTTTTCGAAAACATCCGTACGTTATTTATTATATAATTATACTAGTAAATAGTACGAGAGCCCACGACTACGACAATAGTAGTAGCATATAGTACGAGAGCCCACGACACTAAACCTAGTATGATAAGACTCTCAGATAATTTACATATGTGGGGATCTAAAATAATAAAAGAACACGTCTTAAAGAAACACTCGTTTTATTTTTTATTTTTATACTATTTTAACTCCTTTTTAAAATTATTTACACTAGTATACGAACTGGAAGACGGTGTATGGTAACACAAACGGACACTACTCGAAAACGGGTGGACTCGATTCATTAATGTTGTAATGTATTAATACGTAACAACCAGTCTGTCGCGTTTCAGATTTTTAAATTTCCCACAAGTTTTTCACGATTGTCTTGCTCATAAATATTGATGAAGGGACAATTAAAAAAAAAGAGCCTTATTTGAATTACATGCATATTCGCTTTTACTAGCTCGCTGAAACTGCATAAAAATCGGTTGTGTAGTTTAAAAGATCTAAGCGTACATACGGTGGGAGCGACTTTGTGTTATGTAAAGATGAGGTTATTGTTTTTGGCAGTTTAGTTTTGCTTTTGGGCATCTGCGATTTGGTATTGAAAATTAGAACACGTGTTAAAAATTAGAATGTGTTATTAATTTTACTTTTTGTCTTCAACATATTGAAGGTGAAAAAAATTCAACAAAATCATAATTAAATGAATTTATTACTATAAGACTATGAATTAAAAGGCTAGGTAGTTTTTACTGTACACGCCGCTGTGCCGTAATAGTTATTTATTATATTAGTGCGGTAAATTAGTTATTACAAACGAGTAGACGAATGGAAGGTCGATACGAAGTTGAGGGCTTACCATAGTCACGAATTTGTAATATATCAATTTCGCACGAATAACATACAATGTTTTCCAACACATTTGAGCGAAAATAATTAAGAGATATGGAAGCAAGCTTTTACTAACCACAATATTTTCAATAAATATTTTACTGCCTCATTAATTTGAAGTTTAGATTAATACAAAAAGAGAAGATGCGGTAAGCTCATACTAGCATTAAATAAAATATGCTGCGATTCAACTACATAAGCTACGCTCACACACGTATAAGTCTGTAAATAAACATTCAATCAAGCGAGCGAGACAGAACTGTACGCTTCAACGTAGCGCGAGCGAAACTGCGAGTCCGCATGGCTGAGCGGTATTGTTGTCCTTTTCTTGATAACAAAATGGCGATAACATTCACGACAAACCGTGATTTCTGAGTTTTTTTTTACCTTTTAACGATTAAAAAGTATTGCCGAGGCATTTCTTATTAGATTTTGAACTATTTGTTTTCTTTATAAAAGCATCGAAGGCATTGTTTTATCTTTATAACACAGAATATACGTAAATATTGTTATATTGAGTGCACATGCAGCGTATTTGAATGTCCAATTGTGACTAAAGAGAATTGTGGTCATGCACCACAATTTAACCGTATCACTTTTGAGCCGCGAGTGCCGTGTCTTTCCTTTTTGTTTTAATCTAAGATTTGAAGTCAATATCACTATCATGATCTCTCCCCTGCTAAACACATGGCTTGGTGTCGACTACAAATATATCGGGCGGGATTTTTTTTTAAGTCCATTCTCATTTTATTCAAAATAATTGATTTATATTTTTAGTGTAATATGTAATACGCTACTGGTTGCAAATCTTATAAGCGTGAGTTGACAGGAAAATCGCGCTTATGCGCATTCTTCCAATTAATCTACGCGGGTGAAACCATGTAATATTGCAATTATATAGCAGAGTATACTAAAACCTTCCCTGATAAATACGCATTTGTTTACCAAAAACCCCATCCAAATCGGATCACTAGTTTTTGAGACAATCGCGAACAAAAGCACATACATTCAGATCTAACAGAGAACATCCTTTTTGAAATCTGTTATAAATGGCGACCATGTCCAAATGGCACCACGTGCGAGTGATAAAGCCGGATCTCCAGCTCGTGTTTTGCCCTACACAATCAACATAAACATATCAACATTGAACAAAATCGTCTCCACAAAACTTTGTTTCACTTCACATATTTGTTGGCATCAACAAAGTTTTTGCTTTCCGAGCCTGATGGAAATATGTACACAAATCACCCCCGCGTGGTTCGAGGGGCAGGGTATTGTTCCATCAGTCATTTTTTTTTACAACTTGCTAGCGGGGACTGCTTCCTAAATCTACGCTCCGAGTGCAACTTTTCACTCTGAGGTTTCAATTTTGACATAAAATACATATTTTTTTTGTAAAAATGACAATTCAGCATCTGGATCGTATGTTTGGAACGCAGACCTGTGTATTTTGTGTACGACAGCCACGTTAGCAGTATGCGGCGTAAATAGAGAAACATGTTTCAGAAACAAAGTTTTGTGTAAGTATGTGTTTTTGTTGAAAGTTTTCCAAAAACTTTCGGTGGAGACACGCCTTTATAACTACATCCATGCTTTAAATCCTCTATAAAAGTCTCTGAAACAGTAAGAATATTACCAACATTAAAACAACCAATGTCCTAACAAAAACCCCCATAGTATGAACAGATGTTATAATGTTTTACTTAATTGGTAAAAAAGGTGTGTTAAAAAGGGTAAAAAACAGGACCCTATTACTAAGCCTCCACTGTCGGTCAGTCTGTCTGTCTGTTCTAGGCTGAATCGAAAGTTTTTAGATGTATCTCATGAACCGTGACAGTTAAAATTTTCACAGATGATGTGTTTCTATTGCCGTTATAACAACAAATATGGAAGAAAATAAATATTTAAGGGCGCACGCACTTGGCCGGTTATTCCGATCCCATTTTGCGCAAAAGGTTTACTTATCATTCTCACTACTCGATGCCAGGTTATTTGTATGAATCTAAAAAAAAAGAACATTGTCATTCACGCGCTTTTTTTACCTAAAAAAAAGTTGTAAGTTATTCGAATTCCTGACATTGTTCTTTGATATTAGTTTTGCGATTTGCAAATGTATTAGTTTGTTGATTTGTTAATAAAAATGAGCGATCAGTTTTGATGGCACACTACCAGATATTTCTAATGCAGAAAAGGGCATTTCCAACCAATTACTACTGGAAAAATAAAGAAAACAGTAACCACAATTTCATCAATTTGAAAATATCAAATGTTAAATATAGGAAGACAATTTATATCATGGGTTTAGATAAAGTCATTCATGCAATTGTTTATAATTAGGTATTACATGTACAGTATGAAGCTGTTTATAATTAGGTAAACACTCATGCTAATACTATTATCACTGAAAACCCCAAAATCGTGTTTTACTACCCCTCAATATACTCCTCCTACTCGAGTCGCATTCCTCATTACTGAGGGTCGTGACCTGCCTTCTGCATCACTTGATTCCGTATGATGGTCTGCCATCTGTTCCTGTCTTTGGCGGTGTGAAGGGCATTGTGGACTGTCAAGTCTAGAGCGGTGCGAATCTGGTCAGACCAACGTATTTTGCAAAGCTGAGACATGGCGCCCTTAGCCATGCCAATTCTCCTGCGTACTTCCACATCGCACGACCCATTGTTGCTGATGTTGGAACCCAAGTAGATGAAGTTGTTCACTGTTTCTAGTCCCAACGCGCTAGTCAGTTCCAGTTTTCCAGATCTATCTTCCACCATGATCTTGGTTTTGGACTTGTTTATGGAAAGGGACTTTCCCTCTCTTCGCTAATCCGCTCAATATACAACAGTTATAATATGTATACATACAAAGGCAATACAGACCATACGCGCCATACAAAGGATATACGTACAACCGCCGTAAAAGCATTTTTCAAGCAAATATTTTGAAAAAGAAATTTAAGTGTGTGCGGGATGTCTTCCAGACTCTACCTGCGCGGCGCGTGGTTGCCATTAATGCTAACTTGCCAACCATAGCTATGTTCTCATTCATACCTTAATTTGGATCGCACAGACGTTGGTAAAGATCGAATACAGAATTATTGTATTTATTTTCACACCAGTTACTATCATATCTTATCCGTTATCCGTTTCTTTTTCACTTCTGAGCATTAGTGTGGCTATAGCCCAATTAAACTTTACCCTAAAGTGGGGGGAACCTACTAAGGGATCAGACAATTATCAGTTTCAATGTAGCATAGGACAGAGGGTTTCACTGTTTCCAACTGTTTAACTGATTGTGAAGCTGAGCAGAATCCTTGACGGCCTTAATTTGAAAGACAGTGTAATAATGGTCCTAAGTTATTGTATTTTTTTATATTTTTTTTATTATTGCCGCATTCGTGGATTTCTTTATGCCTAAAGGTTGACTGGCAGAGAATGCTTTTAGCGTTAAGTCCGCCTTTTGGCCATTTTTGTAATTGTTGCAATAAAGTTCAAATAAATAAATAAATACATGTGTGCCTAAATAATATAGGTCAGACAAGTTACTAGGAATCCCTGTAGTTGCTCCAGGGCATCCCCAACACTCTCCTCATCCGGGGGGAGAGGGGTGTGTCCGTTCGACTCGGACGCTCACTGGTGAGGTCGCGGAAGATTCCGTAAGGGTTCCCGTGGCCTCGTCTAGTGCCGTTGTCTCAACCGTGCTGGTTGGGACCGTGGACCGAGTGAGGCGAGGGGCATCGTCAGGTTTTTAGTGGGTAGGGCCCCCCCTCCTGGGCGGTCGCTGAGCTAGTCCCAGGACTGGCTGAGCGGACGGGCAGGACGGGTCGGGAGGAGTCCCACATAACCCCGTTGCCACTCCCAGGTGGCGGGGTATGCGTCATGCATTTTCCTGACGAAAAAAAAAAAAAAAAAAAAAAAGGAATCCCTGTAGTAAGCTTTTAAAAATAACTACTACAAGCGAAAATTATGATAATGTCAAAATAACAATAAATCCAAATAATACAAAAGAGATAAGTAGGTACTTATTACGTATCAGAGATATCGAAATAGGAAAAATTGATTGAATCTTATACTTAGCGTAATTATGAAAGAGAATTTCTAGTAATAGCATTAGTCATAGGTGTTTTAATTATAAAATGATAATACGGTAAATCTTAATACGATAAGATTATATTTTTTAATATAAAAGGAATGAGCAAATATTTTCTTTAATTAAAGTGGTGGTGATCTAGTAGTAGTTTAGTTTATTTTATTAACCTACCACGATGAGAATTTTAGTTGGTATAGTATTATTCTTGGCCCTCACAGCTGATGCAGGTAAATATTTAAACCATACATATAATTAAGCTAACATTCATAAGTTTTGTTGAGAGAATAGATATCATTGTAGATTTTTTTTTTAAATGGCTCCAAAGTAAGCACTATATGGCTTGTGTTATGGGATGCTAGCGTAACGGATAGAATACATATACTGTACATATATAAGTATATTTATTTAAATGCATATTAAACATCCATGACTGGAGTACAAATGCTCGCATTCATCACACAAACATCTGCCCCCACCGGGATTCGAAACCGGGACCTCTCGAGTCGGCGACAGCCATGAAACCCGGCGTACAAACCACTCGGCCACGGAGGTCGTCGATTTAAGTGCTTAAGATAATTAAGTGCTTAGAGATTTTATATTTGATTTTAATTATATAAGTGGGGTAGGGCAAAGCGGATTTTCTACTGGAATGGAAGGATAGTCTAGTCGGTCACTAGGCAAGTAACCTTCACCATTTAGAAGACTGCAAGTTTTGGTTCATAGTAAATATTGTGGTGTAAATTCTAGAAGTGTTGTATTCTAAGGTAACTGGACACATAGGGAAATGTTTAAATTAGATTTAAATTCAGTCAACTGGAATTAAAAAGTTTAGTGTAACAATTTTCACACGCTTATCGAGTAACTGGCTCTATCTGTATAGTTTGTGTATAACCTCTAATTTCCAAGAAATCGTAAATTATACGTGAATATAAGAAGAAACAGGAAATAATACTGAAGTTTATTCTGTGAAGTTCTAGTTTCCTTTGTATACCCTTTGGAAGACTGGAAAATATAACAAAAGGCCATAGAAGAGCCAGATTGAGATGAACCATGAGGCAGTTGCTTGTTTCCAAACTTCTACATTTTTTCTTTATTGAATATCTTTGCGTGTTTCAAGTTGAATAATGATACTATTTTATCTTATTTCAGCTGTTACCAGGGATCAAAGGATTGCTGGTGGTTCCGTTACGACCATCACCAATTATCCTGAAATGGTCTCATTGTTGTATTCCGCTGGATCATCCAATCATCGGCAAGAATGTGTTGGCACAATTCTTACTAACAGAGCAATTCTGACTGCTGGACATTGTACATAGTTGGTATCCACCTCGATGATTTTCTTTTAAGTACATTCTCGAATGGGGGGCTATGTTAATGCTAACATTTTTGCTTACAGTGGACATGGCAGAGACAGGTGGCGTGCACGTGTCGGATCCACCAACGCTAACAGCGGCGGCACCGTCTATAGAACTCAACACATCACCGTTCATCCTTTCTACAATACTTTGACCTTGGACAGTGATATCGCTATCATCCGCACTTCGAGCAATATTCAATTTAACAATCTAGTTCGAGCTGGAAACATCGCCGGACCTAACTATTTCTTAGGTGATAATCAAGTCGTTTGGGCAGCTGGTTGGGGTGCTACTCAGGTGAGCACTTTCAAATGAATAGGTATAGCACGTCGATTCTGTAATATCCACTCTGCCTTGCTATCTCATTATAGATTTTTGAGAAATTGTCAAATATATATATATACTACTCTTCTACCTTACTCTTCAACCACCAATGCTTCAATATTCATTCTGACATTTTGCCGTTTAGTGTCGTAATGCATATTTATTTAATGTCTAAAATTAAAGCTAACGAATTCGGAACTAAGATTTTATTTCAAAGGATTAAGTTGCAGATTTATATTTCATTAATTTAATATAAGTTTAACAGCTGTGATTGACGAGTATGTTGATCTTTTGTTTTTTTTTGTTTTAGTATCAAGGGCAACCTTCGGAGCAGTTGAGACACGTGCAAATTTGGACCGTAAATCAGGCCATTTGTAGAAGCCGCTACGCTGAACGTAACCGTCAGATCACTGATAATATGCTATGCGCTGGTTGGCTCGACGTCGGCGGTCGTGACCACTGCTCGAGGGACGCCGGTGGGCCGCTGTTCCACAACAGAGTTGTCGTCGGCGTGAGCTCTTTCGGTGTCGGCTGTGGCGACGCTCGCTATCCTGGTGTCAGTACGCGGGTATCGCGTTTTACCGCCTGGATTCAGAACAATGCATAGCCGTTTTGATATTTATTGCATTTCTTGACCAGAATAGTATTTGTGGAACTCATGCCTACCAACCGGAATATACCTCTGAAACATTTTTCTTCGATTTATTTTGTCGTTTTTCAACATGAGTACCATATACTATAATTTTTTTAATAAGCTGGTTCGAAGCAAGTTACGTGTGATTAGGAGAATATTCAAAATATTTGAAATTTCAAACAGCAACATGTTTTGTTTTATAAATTACGTACCCAGTAAATCAGTTTTGAAGTTCCTGGTGTCAGGCTGAGAGCGGAAGAAAAGAATAAGGAATAGCTGCTATTTTCCGTATTTTATGCAGTCACTCTATTCCTGTCTATGCAATGCTGAAATAGTAATTTAATGAGATGGAAAGAAAAATATTAATAGAGCACAGCCGTATAATAGTACTATGATAAAATTTAAAAATAAAAAATATCGCTATATAGTTGTTACATTTATATAAAAAAATCTTCAAGTAATATGATAACATTAATACATGGAATAACAGCATATTATGGAAAATGCTAATTGTCAAGTTTTCGAAAACATCCGTACGTTATTTATTATATATTTATACTAGTATATAGTGCGAGAGCTCACGACACTAAACCTAGTATGATAAGACTCCCAGATGATTTATATATGTGAGGATCGAAAATAATAAAAGAACAACTCTTATAGAAACACTCGTTTTATTTTTCAACTTTTTAATGTTTTAACTCCTTTTTAAAATTATTTATGACCTAGCACACTTCGTCGTTAGTTATAATGTCCGCCATTTGTCTCTTCTTTTCTTCCTTCTTTCTTAGCAGAGAACACTGTGAACATTGTACTGATCGAATACGCAAGTAACATTTAATCTTTAATTCATAAAAACATGCTCTCTTTCTAAAGATATTACAATTTTAAGCTACGCAGACTTACAGAAGTATAATTTCATAGAAAATGTAACTATCAGTGGTGATAATAGATGGCGCTGATTTTTTTCTACATAGCAACAGGCATTTGAAACTACTTGAGCAAAAAGCCTTCCGCTTTGTAAACCTGTCTCCATATAGAAATATATCAGCATCATTTATTTAATCAGTGTAAATCAAAATTAGCCGGAAGATTGGTGACAAAACTGAATTGTAATGCCAAATTTAACTGCGTGGAGGGCGACCTTTAATCGATGCAACAACCACTTTCCCTAGTGTTTGGAAATTGTAGCAGTGGTTTTTCTTACACAGAAATTGATGATCTTTCAGAAGAGCATTGATTTTTTTAGGAGATACCTTTTTGGGGGTTTTCTGAGGCCACTGATAACGCTTGTCCTGAGTGCTTGCAGCACTGCAATTTTTCTCCCCCTTCTACCCCTCCCCTGTAACGAGGAACAAACGAAACCTGGGAGTCCTATCATTCTAGAAACCGTATATTTATTTAAATGAAATGAAATGAAAAGTCATTTATTCAGTCTAGGCTGTTACAAGCACTTGCAAAGGTCAAGAAGCTACGCTATCGGTTCGCAAAATTACGGCGGGAGACCTTGCACTGAGAAGAACTGGCAAGAAACTCAGCAAGGGCTGTTTTTTTCTCCCAAGTTGAAAAATGACTTCAGAGATACATCTGAAGTCATCTTCCATTACATCATTTAGAATATAAATGTATAGTTACAATAAAGTTTATAGTTAACATTATATTTAGTATATAGGAAGCGGCATTAGATAGGTACAATGTTACTGTTATCAAAAACGACTAATACCCATCGCATAACAAATTACAAGAAACACTATGTCCATGCATTACGATCATTTATATAATCATCAACTTTATAATAGCCCTTACTCATAAGAGTATTCTTGATCTGAGATTTAAATTTGGTCAGTGGAAGCTCAATCAGATCTTGGGGAACTTTATTAAACAATGCAATATTACAACCCAGAAATGAAACTCTTGATTTTTGGAGTGTAAAACATGGAAAGCTTGTTCTTAAATCTCGTGTTAAAGTTATGGATTTGACTTTTTTTTGCAAATGCATCATAGTTTTTTTCTTACACATATTAAATTTTCATAAATGTATTGCGACGCCAGTGTTAAAATATTAATTTCTTTAAAAGTTTTCTGTAATGGATTCTCTTGCCTATAAATTGTATATGGCGCGAACAGCTCTCTTTGGCAGAATGAAAATACTTTCGATATTAGCGGCTGAGCACCACAATAAAAAGCCATAGGTATGACATAACACCAAGTAACCAAAGTAAACTAATCTTGCCGTTACAGCAAAAGCTGCAGAGCTCGGTCTACTTGACAAGGCATTAATATGAGGATCCCATTGCAGACGAGAGTCTAAAGTAATACCCAGAAACTTTGTAGAATTCACTAACTCTACAGGCTGGTCATTTATTTTTATGCTAGTATTAACCTGCCTCACTTTAGGTAGAGTAAACTTAACGCATTTTGTTTTACTGGAGTTAAGTTTTAAATTATTTACCGTAAACCAATGAAGAACTTCAGAGAGAACACACACATTTATTTATTAAATTATTTTTTTAATAGTGTCGCCAGGTTTTTGCATTGCAGCATCTTCATTTCGTGTTTTCCTACAAATGGCGAGTGACAGTGGTGGTCACATAATTAAAGACACCCCTAATTAAAAAAAAACTTATGGTACTAACATTAGCTAAAATTGGTATTTTTTCCGGTTTAATTGTTATTAAACCATACACGACGTTGTATTCTTACAATGTGGGACAAAAAGTAGTCGTGTTCGTTAGTAGTTTAGACACTGCTCAATATGGGAACGTAACACAAACTTTTTCTCGATTTGCTTAGAAGAAATAAAAAAAAATGTTATTATTGAAATTATCTTTATTGCACAATATTCCTAACACATTTTTAAATCTTTCCGGTACGTATCAATATTTGTTCGCATGTCCTTTGGCAGAAATGACAGCACGACATTTCTTGGGCATGGAATCGATAAATTTTTTACAAGCTTCCACCGGAATTTACTTCCAAGCTTCTCTAAAAGCTGTGTAAAGTTGATAAATTTTTGATGTTCGTTTTGTCGCTATTGTCTTGTTCACCTGGTACCACAAATTTTCTAATGGGTATAAATCAGGACTATACGGGGGCCAATCCAAAACTGTCACAGACTGGTTCCTTCAAAAGTCTTTTATAAAAAAGTCTTTTTGCAGTTTGTTTCGGATCATTATCGAAAGTCCAAAGAACCGGTAAATTTTGCTCGGCATAGAGCAGCATGGCTTATTCTAAAATATTCTTGTACTGCAATTTATCCATGTTGCCTTCTATTTTCCTGACAGGTCTAACACCAAGTCCTGAGAAACAGCCCCAAACTTTGATATTTCCGCCTCCATGTTTAACTACTTTGTTGGTATAATTTAGATCCATTTTTTTTGTTCGGGGGGCGTCTAACATATTGTTTTCCATCAGAATTACTCATATTAATTTTTGTTTATCAGAGAAAAGCACATGTTTCCATTCTCGTTTAGTCCACTGTACATATTTTTTAGCAAATGCTAATCTTGCCTTAACATTTTGCTTTTTCAACAGTGTCACCTTCCGTGACACTCTTCCGTACAAGTTTGCCCCACATAATCTCCGTTTAATTGTTCTTGCAGACACAACCTTCGACCCTCCTGCACCAAACGACTCCGAACGTATCAGTTCTGATTCCTTGAACGGATTTTTGTTTGCCAACAACACCATCTTAGAGTCTTCCCGCAGAGTAGTTTTTCTTAGTCTCGATTTTCTTGGTACGTTTTCGGTCGTGTTGAACTTCTTGAAATGTTTGATAGCATTCATAACCATGTCCATAGAACAGTTCAAATGGTTTACTATTTTTCTGTATGACCAATCTTTATTCCAAGTGGCGAATCGCAACTTTTGTTTTTTCCCATATTTCTGGGTTTAAAACGTATTAATTTTAATTAAAAAAATAGGTTTTATATGTTATATCGACGTTTTATGAAAATACGCGTAAAACAAAGAAAAACAGAATGCAGTTTTTTCTTTAATATTTTAAATTCAGAATACAGCTTTTACTGTCTTTAATTACAAGTACTTTAAAAAAGTTAGTGTTATATTCCCATTGTGAGCAGTGTCTAAACTACTAACTAACACAACTATTTTTTGAACCCCATTGTAAGAATACAACGCCGTGTAAGTTTTATAACAATTACACTAGATTAAATACGAATTTTAGCTAATTTTAGTACTATAAGTAAGTTGTTTGTGGTCAATTAGGGAGTGTGTTTAATTATGTGACCACCATTGTATATACCTATAGAAATAGAAAAGTATTTTTTGTTCTATTGTCATGTGACCGAAAACGCCTATGATGACGGAGGCGGAATCCAAAATGACGTCACCTGCTTATAAACCTGCTGTCAGAGTGACATTACTTTGTACTGTTTGACGTTTTAATGACAGACGTGTGACGTCACATGCATGTAAAACGCCATATTTGCTAGAGAAACATTTATACGGCATATTTGAAAACAGAATTTTTAAATTTAAGGTTTTATAGTGATATACGCAACAGCATTATAAATAACCTCTTTTTATTGAGTCACTATATACACAGTCAGGTCATAAGTATTGTCATACAGTAAAAACTTTTCTTTTAGAATGCTGGCCACAATAAAGTTTATTGAATTCGAATTTCGAATTGTTCATGAAAATAAAAATGTACACTTTTTAGAATTTTACTCATTTTTAAATATGGAGTGGACGCTTAAAGAAGACCGTGTTGCAGTTATTGCGTTGCATCGTTGCGGTTACGCATCAATTAAAATTTTTGATTAACTGAAAAATTTGAATAAAACCAAAAGATTCGTTTATTGTACCATCAAACGATACAATGAAGACTCTAGAGTAGATGACAGGTCAAGAAGTGGTCGCCCTCGGTCTGTTAGGACTCCAGCAGTGATAAAAGCTGTGAAGGCGCGAATGCAAAGAAATCCCAAACGTAAGCAGAAACTGTTGGCCCTTCAGATGGGGTTAAGCAGAACCACGGTGTAAAGGGTGTTAAATGAAGACTTAGGGCTTCGGGCATATCGAAGAAAAACAGGACATCGTTTGAATGCTCGCCTAATGGACCTGAGACTGAAGAGATGCCGCGTTTTGTTGAAGCGGTAAGCGGGAAAAAATATCAAGAAATTCTTTTTGCATTTGATGAAAAATTTTTACCGTAGAAGAGAGCTACAACAAACAAAATAATAAGGTGTACGCACACAGTAGTGAAGAAGCGAGCAACCGTATTCCGCGTGTCGTGTCGTGCGGAATTATTTTATATTAAACATGTGAGAGAATTTATGACCTGACTAGGTATATGTATATTTATCTAGAAATATATATAAACATCCATGACTTAGGCACAAATGCCCGTATTCATCATACTAACATTTGCTTCACCGAGATTCGAACCCGGGACCCGGTAGGCCACACCTTAACCGGGCGTATATGTTTACTACTCAAGGCATGGAGGTCGTCAATCAATAATAATTAAATTTATCAAATCTCTTTACTAAAAGATTAATAATAGATTAAATTACGATAAGATTATAGTTTTCATATAAAAAGAATTAACCAGAGAATATTCAGTCCAATCAATTTAAATATTTTTAAAACACACCATAATGCGTATTTTAATTGTCTTAACATTGTTCGCTCTCACAGCGGATGCAGGTAAAACTTTTTCAATATTGTAAATATCATAAGTACATTTACTAATTGCAATTTAAGTATATACATAATAAAAATATGAACTGTCTTCAAAGCTTTATTATAATATTTCTTTTTAAGCATAATTGCTACATTATTATGTCTTCTTTTTTTCCTAATTGATTTTTTTAACTCTTTCCAGCCGTTCCCAGGGATCAAAGAATTATGGGTGGTTCCCTTACAACTATCAGCAACTATCCTGAGATGGTCGCTTTATTGGTATCCGATGGTCCCACCGGTTTTAGGCATAACTGTGGGGGATCTATATTAAATAACAGAGCAATCCTGACTGCGGCGCATTGTACAGCTCTTGAGCGAAACCAAGGTAATTGTTGTTTTTGATTGCAGTGGATATACGCCGGCTATGTGGCGCTCGCGCGTTGGATCGACCCACGCCAACAGCGGTGGTGTAGTCCACAACTCTGCACGCATCATCAATCACCCCAATTACAATGTCTTCACCATAGACAATGATATCGCCATCATCCATACCTCAAGCCAAATCCACTTTACAAATGTAATCAGGGCTGCAAACATCGCCGGCTCCAACTATTTCTTAGGGGATAACCAAGTCGTTTGGGCAGCTGGTTGGGGTTTTACTCAGGTGAGCAATTTTAACATAATTAATTTTAATCAGCCGGAATTATATTTTTTATTAAGTGTTGAATTCCGAAATACAAAATAATATTATTTTGTTTCAGACTAATGGAAATCCCTCAGAACAGTTAAGACACGTACAAATTTGGGTCGTTAATCAGGCCGTTTGTAGATCTCGTTACGCTGAATTAAGCGTGTTAATTACTGACAATATGCTTTGCTCTGGTTGGCTTGACGTTGGCGGCCGCGATCAGTGCACCATGGACTCCGGTGGCCCACTGTACCACAATGGGGTTGTTGTTGGCGTATGCTCCTTTGGTTTCGCATGTGGCCACCCTCGTTTTCCTGGTGTCAATGCGCGGGTATCACGCTATACCGCATGGATTCAAAACAATGCATAGTCCTTTTCATTTTTTTAAATTTACTATCCAAACTTTATTTCTAATTCACACGTACCTACTTCCTTAGCTACTGAAATTAAAGTCGTTTAATTTTCTCTTTTTTATATATTTTTTTATATTGACCACTAGCTGTGTTGAAAACGTCTTATTACAAAAGTTCTTCTAGATTGAAATCCACTTAGCGGCATTTGAACCTGCAATAGGAATAAATAGTTGTTCACGATATATGAGTTTATGTAAATATGAATTTGTGTTATCCTTTATTTTGAGGTAAAATAAAATAATATTTATAAAGCTCTTTTTATAAAGGAAAAACTTTTATTTGGTAAACAATCTATTAAACCTGAAATTGAAATTTTTAAGACTATGATTATACACACAGAAACAATGAATAAATCTGAATTTTATTCTGTTCATAATGGGCAAAAATAAAAGTTGTGATGCGTCAACTAGGCAAATATTTGTTTATTTATATATAGAACATAAGTGGGCGTACAGAAGAATAGCTGAGCATTTAAATTGTTCTATTAAGAAAGTTTTTAATGCAATTGATCATTATAAAACACATGGAACTGTTGAAAATGTTCTTAGAAAGGCTCGACTAAGAAAAACCCCTCCTAGAGAAGATACGCTAATCGTTCGTGTTGATAAAAAAGACCCAAGTAAAGGCTCTAACCAAATTAAAAATGAAGAAGTTTTTTCACCCGATGATACGAGAAACATCTCGTCAAGACTGATACGCCTAAGATTAGTGGAAGCTAAGTTGTTTGGAAGAATCGCTCGAAAAGTACCGCTTCTTACCAAGCAAATCCAAGAGAAGCGATTATTATTCGCTAAAAATATGTTAATTAGACGGTACGATGATGGAAAAAAGTGTTATTTTCATATGAAACAAAATTAGAAATGGTAAATTCCGATGGAAAGCGCTATGTAAGACATCCTGTAAACAATGCTTTTAATTAAAAATACACAAGGTAGTCAAGCACGGTGGCGGTAACATTAAAGTTTGGGGGTGTTTTCCAGATTTGGAGTTGCACCCGTTCGGAAGATTGAAGGTACAATGGATCAATGGCAATACAAAAATATCTTAGAGTAACCTGGATCTTTCAGCATGACAATGACCCTAAACACAGGGTTAATACCGTCAAATGTTTGCATAGCGAACAGCGTATATCCGTTTTGGGCTGGCCAGCAATTAGTCCGGATTTAAATCCGATAGAAAATCTCTATCGAAAACGCGCCGTGACAAGCCTGTAACAAATTTTTGTATCATATCACTGCACTAATCCACATGGGCCTGCTTCGGAGCTTCGGTGAGGTTGTTTGGCACCCAGCGGGAGACTATCCTCCTTACGCAAAGGTGCTCGTACAAAATCTTGTGAACACTTTCTGAAACAATCTGCAGAGTATGCTGAATCTCTTCGTAGGTAATTTGTCTGTTTTCTTGTATATTTTTTTACTGCCAGCACACTTTCTTTGGTGACAGCCGTCGTAGGACGACCACTCTTTTGTTCATCCCCCAAAGTAAGACGACCGCGTTTGAACTCGCTACACCAGCGGCAGATGGTTGCTTTTAAAGGTCCTTCTTCGATTTGATTGATTTTGAACTGCTTAAAACAGTTCGAAATCGATTAAACGACTCATCAGGTTTTAAGCCACATTTAAAATCGTAAAAAATCATAGCACGAAATTGTTCTTGATGCAGATCCATTTTTTAATAAGACAAGAAAATTTTTACTGGCTCTCGAAAAAATGCGGAGGGAAATTTGAAAATCGAACAATGGTATTTTTACTTTTTAATAATCGAAGTTTTCAAAATAATTACAAGTGGCCAGTGCCTTATACATAAAAACTTTTTTTCGCAAAAAATCTGTGTTGCCTGGTATGTCCAATTATATCCAGGTTGTCAAAATATATATAAATATATCTAGATAGTGATCTTAGATTACTAACTGCGGGTGTTCGAAATGCACTGAACAACGCTGAAACGAAAAAAAGGCATATGAATAGTTTGTTTTTTTTTTATTTAACATAATAATGTTAACAGATTAACGGTGATAAGAATTCCTAAAGATAAGATTTGCTTAAATTATAAAAGCAAAAAATCTTCCGTTATACTACAATCAGTTTCAACAGTCTCAACAATGCGTGTGTTAATTATTGTTCTAGTGTTAGCATTAACGGCGGTTACAGGTACGTAAGTATATTTTTGTTATCTTTTTTCTTTTATTTTGGCATCAAACAGTCATATATTTTAGAAAAACACCTTATGTTAAATATTTTTTTATGAAATAGACCTAACAGTGCCTAAGCACAATATGAAAAGAGACATGGTCAGCTAATGAAAATACAAACTAAACCGTTACAGTACAGAATTTTATGACGAAATATTTATATGATATGTATAGGTACGCAAGTATATTATTGTTATACCGACACTTCACATGGTTATTCGTATTTGATATTTATCATTTTGACAGCTGGTCGTTCTCTTATCATACTATAAAGAGAGTTGTAAGAAGAGACTGATGTCAAGTTTACAAATAGTAAATACGAATAGTCATGTGAAGATCTGGCAGTAAATGCGGAAAAGAAAGAAAATTTCTGATTTTCTATTTGAATTGATCGTAAATTAGTTTTGTCTTTATCTGTTTTATTTGTTGATTGTGGCCCGCCGTCGCTTCGCTTCGGTATACAGCTGTAGTGTAGACTATGGTTTTTGTTCTCACTCTTGTATTTCTGCACTTATTTGGTGGAAAGCGCTAATCTCAGGAAATACTGGTCAGATTTGAAATTATCGTTTAGTGTTGGATAGTGCATTTATCTAGAAAAGCTATAAGCTGTATAAAAGCATGCTACAACCAGTAGGAGCGAAGCATCACTGGAAATGAACCCAATTTTCTAAATTGGGTTAAAATATTCCATTTGTGAGTTTCCGTTGCGTGCGCTCTGGGTAAATGGTTGAAATAAGACAAAAATCCTGTATCAAAGGTTTATTTCCCCTTGAAAAGTGCCATAAAAAATTCCGCGACAGTATATGTTCATCTTTTAAGTTTTACTCACTATAACCTTTTTCCTCAAATTAATGCGGGTGAAACCGCAGGACAACTCTAGTTATGACATAACTGTAATAGTTTGACATATAGTATTACGGACTTTTTTGTAGATGTTGATATCTTCTATAAAACTTCAGTACATCACTTTGCTCTATTGTCAATGACTTCCACAGTGTACGCGATATAAGGTTATTTTATGGGTTATATTATTGAAGTTTTCATACGGAACCCTAACTTTTTTGGAAATACTCTATAGCCTATGTTCATTAGGGATATTGTAGGATCCTAAATGCGACAGAATGTTTCACATCGGTTCAGTAGTTTCGGACTCTATTCAATACAAACAAACAATCAAATGTTTCCGCTTTATAATATTAGTATAGGCATAAAAAAAACCGACCAAGTGCGAGTCGGACTCGCACACAGAAGGTTCTGCACAAACATAGAGGTATATTTTCGGTGTTTCCAAATTTTCTTTTATCTGTGCTAAAAGGCGTTGCTTTGTACCAAATTTCAAGATTCTGAGTTCACGGGAAGTACCCTGTAGGTTTTGATTCCCTTGCGAGTTTCGAAAATTTGCGGCATAAACGGCTGTATCTTTTGGTTGCGTTGGCTTAGAAGTTGAATACTTTCACAGCTCCAAGGAACAGTAGATCTGAGTATTTGATATAAATTTCAGGTTATGACCTTCACGGGTTCCTAAGAAAATGGGTCTTGACAGACGGACGGACGGACAACAAAGTTATCCTATAAGGGTTCCTTTTTTTTCCTTTTGCTGTACGGAACCCTAAAAATGACCAACTTATTTTTGTTTTCAGCCGTACCGAGAAGTCCGCAAAGAATTGTCGGAGGTTCAGTTACGACAGTCGATAATTATCCAGAAATAGTCGGTTTGTTGCTGACCGTCGCTGGCATAGACTTTGGACATGTTTGTGGAGGCATAATCCTCAACATCAGATCAATCCTCACGGCTGCTCATTGTACTTTGTACTGTATTATACATTTTTCTATTTTAAATATAAATTTTGAGGTATGAATATTAAATAACAGTTTATAATTTTATTACAGTTTCGCCGTACCAGAACACTTTCGCATTCGTGCTGGATCAAGCTATGCATATTCTGGTGGTGTAGTTGTTAATATTGCCCTCCTCATTGAGCACCCCAATTTCAACGACCTTCCTTTGAACAATGACATCACCATCATGCGTCTCGCCCGTCCCCTTGGGTTCACTGACGTCATTAGGCCTGCAAGGGTTGCTGGCACTCACTACGTGCTTAGTGACAACCAAGTAGTCTGGGCTGCTGGTTGGGGAAATATTGAGGTGAGAAGTTTTCTTCGTAGCCGCGAGAATTTGTTTTAGCACACCAACTTCGCTCTCTGTTATAAAGTCACTATTTAATGGGTTTTGATTAAATATTAGTAATAATAAACTTAAATTTGCCAGTATTACTAGTTTATTTCAGCATATTGCTAGATTCTTAATTTTAAAAAAATGTTTTTCTAGAAGAATCTTGATATTTGGGCACGTTTGGCTGGACAGCGAAAGACGCTAAATCGATTTCATTTTGGTGTTTGGGACCAGTTGATATTTCCAGTAAAAATCTTTATAGTATAATTATAGTTTCCTTAATTCAAATCGAATTTTCATAAGTAATTCTCTAAAAAAGTAGAAAACTAACTCGCTTTATTTAAATTACAGGAAGATGGTCCTCAATCGGAGCAATTGAGGCACGTCCAAGTTTATACTATTAATCAGGCTGTCTGCAGAGCTCGTTATGCCGTACTTGAAACACCAGAAGCTATCGTTAATAGGAAAGTTACCGAAAATATGTTGTGCTCTGGCGTGCTCGATGTCGGTGGCCGCGACCAGTGCCAGGGTGACTCCGGTGGCCCGCTCTATCACAACGGAGTGGTCGTCGGCGTCTGTTCCTGGGGACATGGCTGTGCTAGACCCTTCTTCCCCGGTGTCAATGTTCGTGTATCTCGTTATACTTCTTGGATTCAGGCTAATGCTTAGATGTTTCTTGTATAGTAAATTATTATAAGTTGATGTTTTGTTGATGTTTAATAATTTTGAAAGTGTATTTAAAATGTACAGCAATTAAACTGCGCTTTTTTTAATTTAATATAAGGCAGCTAACCATGGCCATTTTGAATGCCGACTCGTAATCCAAAAATCCAGGGTGGACGCAGCGTTATCGCCAATAGACCAGGCTTTGAGAACATTTATTCAAAAAGTACATTCACCCAAAATTGTTAATGAAGTCCTGGCTGTTACAAGTACTTTTAATATACAAACGCTTTGATATTTAAGTCTTCGGAGGAATACTTTGTACTTTTTTATGTTAAAAGGATGGCAAACAAGCAAATGGCCCGCTTGATGGTAAGCGGACACCATAGCCTATAATAGTATAGATGCTTGCGATACAAAAAATATCACTCGCGCTGTTGCCTACCCTGACGCAGTTTCTTGCGTTTAGAGGTAATTTAGGCAAATATAAAATTGCAAACTTTATTCTTAATTTCGAGAAATATTCGTACCAAGTTTTAATTATATTAACTTAAGAAAAAGATTTTTCGTACCAAGTTTTAATTATATTAACTTAAGATACACCTTGTGGGTTACCTACAATGCGAAGAGGTGTCGCTGCCTTGTAGCCTTTTTTTTTGAGACTTTAGCGCCACCTACAATGTGCATTTTTTGTTGGACGAGATTGCAACAATGACATAAATTGTAGTACTCAACGCCCTCTACAATTATGGTTAAAAAAAGTTTCTAAACTGCATACAAAACAAGTAAAATGCGTTTCAAAAAATTTTTGACGGTTTTTTTGAGTTTTTCAAAAAACGCCTACGAGTTGAACATGCCCATCGCCAAGGTGGATTACTGACGTCATTTGGCAACAGAAAAAACAAGACTTACCCTTTAGGTTTTTTTTTCACCACTCAACCTACAGATTGACTGTACTACAGTTATATTAAAAAGGTAATGTCATGATTTTTAAAGATTTGAAATTGAGAATCTTCTATCGTTTGATAGAAGATTCCAAGAGATAGACTTCAGGCACCAAACCATACGTTGACAGATTAAGCTCAATTGTTATATTCGCCTGATTTAAAATAAAATAAGAGTTAAACATATAACTTGTTTTTCATTTAATAAAACTACGCCCCTAGGATCTACCCCTTCAGGGTAGATCGCCGCAGTACACACAATTTGCGTCACCTACAAAAACATTAATACATCCAAACTAGACAAAAAAAACTCAGTCAAAAATGCGTACATCAAATCTACACGCATCATGCATTTAAAAAAACACGACTGCCTGAAAACGACCTGAAGTCAACATATTCAAGAAAGTAATTTCAGCAGGATGACCATTTCGCGTTAAAACACTTTTAATTTAAGAGCAATGACTGTCATGAACTTGTTTTTCACTTGCAGTTTCTTTTGCGGCAAGGCATTTAAGGTTATATATTTAAACTAGCGGTCCGCCCTCGCTTCGCTTCGGTGTAGAGCTGAAGTGTAGACTAAAGTTTTTGTTCTCAGGCTTGTATTATATACAATGATATTCATCTTCTTCTTCTTATACCTGCATGCAAAGTCTCAGCCCGATCGGTTTAAAATTGTCAAAGTTTCATACAAACTTTCATTCCCTATTTTATCCCCTTGGGGGTAGAATTGGTCAAAATCCTTTCGTAGCGGATGCCTACGTCATATAATCTACCTGCATGCCAAATTGCAGGCCGATTCGTCCAGTGGCAGCGCAGCCCAAAGCGCGTTGATAGATCACTATATCAGTCAGTCAGTCACCTTTGTGTTTTATATATATAGATAACCTTAAATATAGATAATATATTTTTTTTTAATATGTGTTTTAGGGCTAAAAATTTTGCAATAAAATATGAAATGTTCGTTTTTGTAATGTAATAAATAAATGGAAGTTTAAAAGTATACAGTGGACAGAGACTGAGTAATAAGGATTCCTTTTAGGATTTAGTGTATCATTAAATCATGAGTGGTGTTACAATGTGGGCGTATTTCGTAGACAATTTCTGTATCTCAGAAGTAGTGGGAAAAACGGATTAGGAATAATTTATTCATATAAATCTATAACTTCGTATTTTTTTTTAAATATACCTAAGACTTTCGTTTTCAAGCAAAATGCAAAAAACTGAGATTTATGACGTTTAACTATTTATTTATAATATTGATGAGCTTTAAATACTTCTACCAATTTTAAACTTTGTTTTTGTTAATATGTCTAATTATGTCCACGTTGTCAAAAATCTAAATATCTTTTACTAACTGCGATTGTTCGAAATGCACTGAACAAGGCTTCAATGATAAAAAAAAACCCATGAATACTTTGATTACGAATTAACATATGTTAACAGATTGGGTGGTGATTAGAATTTCAAAAGATAAGATTTGCTTTAATTATAAAAGCAAAAAAATACTTCTGTAATACTACAATCAGTTTCAACAGTCTCAACAATGCGTGTGTTAATTATTGCACTGGTGCTGGCATTAACGGCGGTTACAGGTACGTAAGTATATTTTTGTTATCTTTTTTCTTTTATTTTGGCATCAAACAGTCATATATTTTAGAAGAGTACCTTATGTTTAATATTATATTATGAAATAGATCAAACAGTGCCTGAGCACATTATGAAAAGAGACATGGTCAGCTACTGAAAGTACAAACTAAACTATTACAGTACACAATTTTATGACGAAATATTTATATCATATGTATACATATATATGTGTGTGTACACTTAAATAAACATAAATATATACGTACTTTATTTTAAGCCTCTCCTGAAAGTTTTATAGTGAGTTTCCTTTTAAATGTAGCAAAAGCAATATTAAAGAGATCAAATTCAGAGAATTCCTTGTTTTACGTGTTGGTGGAATAATAAAAGAATGTTTCTCGTATATATTTTTTGACGTTTCCGTGGAACAAACAGCGAGTGTACGTGAGGACCGCCCGGGAAACGAATACTTGCAAGGAGTGCGGACAAATCTATAAGCCAGTTCAGTATTTTATAAAGAAAAGTTATGTCACAGATTTTTCGGCGATAACGCAGTGTGAACATATAATAGACTTCTAAGGATTTCGTATGTATCATTTACAAAATTAGTACGTAAATTTAGTGATATTAAAAACTTTTTTTGAACTTTTTCAAGTCTGTTCATGTGGTCATTATAATAGGGGTTTCAAACAGTGCTACCAAACTCAAGAACAGAACGAAAAAAAGTACAGGATTTTGAGTGTGTTTGTATTTCTAAACGGATTACTTATTCTAAAAATGAAGCTCCATCTCTTATATGCAGCGGCCACAATGCAATCAATATGATAATATTAAAGGATATCTTTGAGTCCATCATTATTCCTTAATCTTTAATACGGTCCATCCTTTTCAGAGATTTGCCATTTATAGAATAATAAAATTAATTTGGTTCTTCTTTCGAGAGGCGCGGTGCACAGCTGGCCGACCGCAGTTAATAGGGGGCCCAAGTAATGAGTTAGCCACTCATGAAATACTCATAGTACTGGTAGCGGTACTGAAGCCAAATCGTACATTCTACTTCCATTTCCCCACCGAACAAATGCTCACGCTATGTAAAAAAGGAAAAAGAAAAATGGCCCAACAGCGGCAGCACGCCCTTTCGCTCAAAGTGCACCTCACCAACATTAGAGGACTGCACTTTAATCTCGTGCCAGTCCATCACCATCTAGAGACTCAGAAACCTGCACTATTTTTCCTTACCGAGACGCAGATAGGATGCCCGTCAGACCAGGCGTACCTTTTCTACCCTGGGTACAATATTGAGCACAACTTTTAGCCCTGTAGTGGAGTGTGCTTATAGGCCTGGGACGATATCTGCTATTGGCGTCTTCGTAATCTTGAAGACCCTCGATTCTCGGTTCTGTGGATACTGTTGGACACAGGCATATAGAAGATTCTGTATGCCTGTGTCTACCGGTCGTATACCGGAGATTTGGTGTTCGATGCATTGTAATCGAACACCCATAATTTAGCCTAAGACCGCGTTAATTAGGTTAACACGCGCGTCAATTGATTCAGTGCATTTTTGGTACCGAATGAGTCGGGTGCATTCATCAAACATTAACATTTTCAACATACGCGTAAAAACATTATTATCATTAACGTTAATTTTAGTGTAGTTTATAAAGTTTATAAAGAACTATATTGTGGACTTCATAATAAAACATTATAATATATTTGAACTTCCTCTTTTACTCCAAACATTCACCGTTAACTAGTGCAAGTCGGAACATGGTCCTTCGAGTGACCTCGCGAATCGGTTAAATATCTTCGTGAGTGTAAATGAACTAGTGAACACTGACCTGACTGGAAAACATAGAGTTGGAAACTATATCTGATAAATGGGAGTTTGAAGACGTCCTCAGAACATTACAAACTCGCTGGACGGCAATAGACTCTTTACACTGGGAGCTAGACAGCGAGTTATGCGGAAAAGATCTAGAATATGAACTAGCATTTAACAAGTATGAGAAAGAATATAACAAATTGAAGAAAGAAATTAACAAAAAGATGTGGGCAGTAGCGAACAGGAGATAGGTGAACAAGGAACGACGAGTCAAAGAGAGGCAGAAGTTGGTGACTCTTCAAAACAGCGCGATAAAGACTACACATTAACGAGATGTCAAGGGAATACAAGCACATTGGACGAGATGTTACGTAAGCAAACAGCAAACTTCAAGGCCTTTAGAAGACCTGCACAAAATATAGAGTCGTCTTTAATGCATCTGCCAAAACAGAAACAGGATATAGTTTGAATGATTTTATGCATAAAGGGCCCAATTTACAACAGGACCTCCAAACCCTATTATTAAAATGGCGACAGTATAAGTATGCATTTACTGCCGACATCGAGAAAATGTATCGGTAGATATTAGTGCACGAAGAAGACCAAAATTTACAAATGGTGGTCTGGAGGGAGTCAAGAGAACAGCCATTATAATTCTATCAATTGACCACGGTCACTTATGGTACAAAAGCTGCGCCATTTTTAGCCATAATGACATTGAAAAGATTAGCATCTGACGAACAAATCAACTTTCCCGAAGCATCCAAAGTGTTAGAGACCTCTTTTTATGTCGATGACCTTGTCCACGGATGTCATTCGATTCAGAAAGGTAAACAACTTATAACTGACTTAAGAACATTATTAAAAGCCGCCGGCTTCAATTTGAAAAAGTGGGCCTCAAATGAACCGAAAATCCTTCACGACATTACTAACCAACATATCATATCTAACGAAGTTTTCAATTTCAAAACAGAAAACACATCCAAGACACTCGGATTATGTTGGAATTCCGGAGAAGATACATTCACTTTTCAATGCAACATATCACTTCAACAAGTTAAAAAACTAACTAAAAGGAAACTTTTATCCGAAATTTCAAAATTATTCGATCCTTTAGGCTGGTTAACACCTTTATCGACAAAACTGAAATTATTATTTCAAAAATTATGGAAATAAAAATTAGAATGGGATGACGTCGTTAACGAAGAAATCAGTAAAGAATGGAATAAGATAAAAGAGCACGTCCATATAATTAAACAATATGTGATACCTAGATGGATTAAGTGTTGCGAAAATGACGTAATAGAATTGCACGGGTTCAGTGACGCGTCTGAGGACGCGTACGCATGTGTTGTATATGCGCGAATCAAATACACTTCAAAAATAACAATAACAAACAATGCGAACAAATGCAACTACAACAAAATATTAAACAAACATTAAAGCCAGGGGCACGAGGCAAGCTTACAAGTGTAGCCATGGCTTTAGTAATATTTATGACACTATTCGTGCCCTCGAATTGTTCAAGTAACATCACGGAAATTGATAAGAAACAATCTCTTTATTTCGATCCTCTATTTAAAATGCAACTGATACGAGACAAATGGACCCTAGTGTTTTTTTATGATATGGCACCATATTCAGAAGGAATAAAGGCGTTCGAAAAAATTTATAACTACATAGATACCACTTGCAGTTCAATCGATCGAAAAAACCAATGCAACTTAATAATATCTCAATTACAGCACGAGTTCTCGGAAATAAAATATTATAA